GAAATAAAATATAAATAAATATAAACAAATACTTTTTAGAAACACAAATTATCAAGGCATGAAAGTAAAATATCTTCATCAATTAAATTTTTTAGATTCATTACAAAAAAGTTATGCTACTTGTGCCCTGCTCCGAGTGGCAAAATATTTTTGATTTTATTAATTCAATTTTTCCTCAACCTTCTTGTCCAATATTTAACCTCATACCTTTCTTCTTTAAATCATGGTATTGATATATTAACATTTTGTTGTAAGGTTTTATATTTCCCGAACTTTTATAGAATGGCTTTCCAACAATCCGGATTTAGAAAACTTTGGGATTATGTGAATGCCTAAACATATTAGGAAATGATATTCCAATTGCAGCAATTGAGGCTTACTATTACTATTATGTTTTTCACTATTGCTTGTATGTAACTAGTACATCTTCTCATTTACGGTATTTTCCCGATTTAGATAATCTTAATAAGCTTGTACAACTTGCAAATAAAAAATAAAATTTTTTTTTAAAAAAAAATAAAAAATATATATATCGTTTTATATAACTAGCATTATCAACTTTAAAGAGATCCTTCACAAATAACACTATATTGTTGCATATATATATATATAACCATTTTATTTTTCATTCTTTCATTCTTTTTAATCTTTAAATCCACTTTCTAAGCCAAACCGAGACCTCACAATATATAGACTATCAATTCATCAACGTTATCATCAATTAACCACTTAATAAACAGCAATAGTTGATAATGAAGTTATTTGAAACCACACATGTTTTTTCTTATCCTTGGTCCAAAGTTTCAACAGCACATTGGCAAAAATATCCAAATGAAAATTGTTCACATGTAGTAGGAACTGATGTATTGGATCGATATGTAGATAAAGAAACTGGTGTTTTAAAAACTGAACGTTTAATGCAATTACGGAATCAAAATATACCAAGTTTTTTTAATAGAATATTTGGTAATTTAACAGAAACTTATGCTAGAGAGATAAGTGAGGTTGATCCTAAGAAGAAAGTTTTGAAATTGACAAGTACAAATCTTACTATGAGAAATATTATTAATGTATCAGAAGTTGTTACCTATACCCAAGATCCTGATGATCCATCTAGGTATATTTATTTGATTATTTTTATAATGATTTTTTCAAAAAAAATAATTATCAATTATTAATTTTTTTCTTTAAAAAATCCATTTAGAACTATATTTAAGCAAGAAGCAAAAATTAATTGTGGTGAATCGATTCATAGATTTGCTAATCATATAGAAGAATTTTTTGTTCAAAGGTTTAAAGAGAATTCAATGAAAGGTCGTCAAGGATTTGAGAGTGTGTTGGAAAACGTATGATGTATATGTGTACGTTTAGATATGTGAGTGTTTAACATATATTTTATACATAATTAAATTATTCGGGTTAATATATTATATACGCATACACATACACATTTACACATACGCATACATCATCGACATCGACATTATAAATCAATCAATACCCAATTAAATATTTATAATTCATTCATTGACATTATAATTTTAAGCATTCTCATCATTATCATCAATACCATCCATCATAGTTGATATTATTTATTATTTATCTCGGTAGAACAAAAAGGACTTTGCGGTTTTTTTTAATACGATATATATAACTTAATAAAAATTTCAATGTTATAGAATTATGATTTGATGTTTAGATAGAACAATTATTTGTAATAAAATAAACAATATGACTAATGGAAACACAAAAATACCAGTTAAAAAAACCGAATTGACATATAAACTGCTTAAATTTCTGGACTGTATCAATATTTTATTTTTGATCATTTATTTCCCCACATATAATAACATATAATAACATATAAATGCGATGTGTAAATTTATCAAGCATGAAAAAATTAAAGTTGTATCGATAAAAGCGATTTGGAGCGATGTATGGAATGAATAAGCGGTTGTTTCTATGGTTACGTAATCAATTAATACATCATGAGATTTTGATTTAGAAATGGGTATAGTTAAATTGTTATACAAATAACAAAATTTCCATTTCGATATCTTTATATAGGAAATAAAAAAAAGATCTGCGTTTCTTTTTGTCTTTCTAACAATGAATATTTTAATATAAATAAAATTCGTGGGATACCGTTCGTTGTCAATACTGTTACATATTTTTTTAATATAAAGTGACTGACAGTGCATATATATATATTAGATTTTTTAAAAAAAATCTCGAGATATAGGTAATAATGGTAATATATTTTTGACCATGCGAGAAGTATTACGCAGATCCAGATTTTCTTTGATTATATACATACATTTGCGTAGAATAAATTGATAATGATTATGAGAATATTATTAGTATAAAAAAAAATTTATCTAATAATATAAATTTGAATTATTTTAGATTTTCTTTACATTGAATAAATAAATAATAGTTGAAAATCCAAGCCATACTATCTATAATAGTCAAACAACCATCACGGTTTACACCGAGAATCCCCCCTCGATCATTAATTGCTAGGCATTAATATGAGTATTTATGGCGATTTATATAAGCAATTAAAATCAAAGGAAAAAGAAAGTAAAACAATAAAATATTATGATTATTGATTATATTATAATATTTACTATTAAAAATTTTAAGGTTCACAGGATCTAACGCGTAATTACCATTGAACGAATTAAATAAAGGGAATATGTAAATCAAAAATGGGTTCTTTCATCGTTTTTGTTTAAACATAACAATAGCTGCTGCAATCATGTTTCGAGAACAGCATAACATTACACAATATTAATGTATTTCAAAAAAAAAAAAAAAAAATTAAATAATTCAACAGAAGATCTCAAAAATCAAACCGAATATAATATCAAATTAGAGAACTGAACCAATTATATTGACTAGAAGTCATAAACAACAAGCCTTATGAAATTTTCTGTGGTGACATGTTAACTAAATAAAAAAATAAGACCAATGGAGAACTCGATTAGCTTTATTTTATTATAATATATTAACATAATATATAAATGGCACCTTTAAAAAATTTTTTGAATCGTCATTTCTATAAATTATAAAATAAAAATTAGAAATTTTTAAAGAATTAAAAAATCGGAAATTAAAAAAAAAAAATACAAACGTAACAAACAAATCACAAGGACAGCAGATTTGTGAATATTGTTGCTCTTGATTGCATTGGTGTTAAGATAAAATAATGCTGAATTTAAGTTATAGGCTAATAATAAAATAAGAAAGAAAAAAAGATAAGGAACAAAAAAAAGAGTGGACGCTCACCCTTTTCCATTTCAATAAAAGTAATAAAGATTTTCTTTCTTTCTTGACCTTCTTTAGATTTTTTAATCTTTGTTGCTTTTTTTTTTGCTAATCTCCCTGATATAGATATTAGAGACTGTATAGACAAATACATTGATTTTATAGATTTAATTATAGCGTGTGAATATATTGTGAATATTCATAGATAGAAAGATATACCAAATATATAAATACATTCTTTGATCGATTAGCACAACAAAGGCGCAAAACCTACACCTTATTAAAAATCCTTAAAAAGCTAGAATATTGACTTTGCCAAGTGTTGTACACTTGCGATTCTATATATATTCTACAAAAAAAAAAGGGAAAAAAATTTTATCATAGAAATATATCTTTTTTGGTCTTTTTAAGGTTTTCTTTTTTCTTTTAAGTTTTAGAAAAAAATTAATATAATATGACGGATCCAAGTAACAAGCTATATCATCCTCATGATCCTCACCATCCTCAACAACAACATCCTCAACAACAACAACAACATTTACCTTCTAACGATCCTCAACAACATAATCAATATCAGTATCACCAACAACACGAAGAAGAAGCAGAGGAAGAAGGGCAACTACGTCATCTTCATCATCATCAGCAGCATCAACATTTATCTTTACATCCTAGAGAATTAATACAGCATAAGATTGGAGGTGAAGAGGGTGTTGATATTGTTCCATCATCATCGTCACATATTTTACTCGATCAATCATCCTCATCATCATCGCAAGTTAACCTTGCCTCAACCGCACAATTACTGCACTCTTCACACCCTCATCATCACATTTATCAACAGCAGCAAGATCAACAACAGCAAGAACAAAATAGCATAATTGATAACTTCTGGCAACTACAAGTAAATGAAATTAGAAACGGTGCTCATGATTTTAAAGTTCATCAATTGCCTCTTGCTAGAATAAAGAAAGTAATGAAAACTGACGAAGATGTAAAGGTAAGAGAAAGGAAGGTTTATATGCGTGTATACAAATAGTATTTAATTAAAATTTTTTTTAATTAATCGTGAATGGTTACACTGATCAATTTTTGTACGCGTTGGATTCCATGTACCTTATTTTCATTATAATAATCATATTAATATAGATGATCAGTGCTGAAGTAAGTTCTAATTAACGGATTAATTATATTCTTAAATTGGTTTTCCCACATTTACATATTGGGATTTTTATTTTAGACTGTATATATTATTGCATTCTTATTTATTTATTATCTATTTATAAGGCCCCGATCCTATTTGCTAAAGGTTGCGACATATTTATAACAGAATTGACAACCAGAGCTTGGTAAAAAAAATATTATTTTATTTAGATGGATAATTTATACGTAAAAATTTCATAATAATAATGATGATAATGATAATGATATCATTAGGCTTCATGCAGAAGAATGTAAACGAAGAACTTTACAACGATCAGATATCGTTAATGCTATAAAAAAATTAGATATGTTTGATTTCTTGATAGATATTGTACCAAGAGGAGGAAGTGAAGATAAATTAACGACACCAAATAGAACCGATGACCATTCGTACGAACCGGGATTACCACCGCTCCATCAAAGTGGGCCACAATTTAATACTAATACTGTAAGCTTCCCCAACTTATATTTTTCTCTCTCTAAAAAAAACTCAAAAGTCAAAATCAATAATTAGTCTGTGAGTGTCTTTAGTCGCGTGAAAAATATGCTATTAATAGTGGCTCAAAAAAATTAATAAACTTTTCAAAATATTATTTATATTAGCCGACAAATATGCCTGGTGATAAAATGTTAATCGATTATCCACATCATCATCCACATAATCCACAGGTAAATTTAATCAATTAAATAAGAAATGTCTTCATAATACAATATCAAAATATATGTGTAAAGTCTTTTAATAAAAATCTTTAGAATCATCCACATCATCATTATATGCAAAGGATAGATTCTCATCATCACTCCAACCATCATCTACATTATCAACAACATCATCCTGAACATAATCAACCTTATCAACATCCTCAACAACATTATCAACATCCACCACCTTTGTTACCACCAATAAATCCTGCTGCCGATCATCAATTGATTTCTTCTTCCACTTCTCCTCTCCCCTCTACTTCTTTATTCAGACCAGCTTCTGCTTCGTCATCATCAAGTGATTCCGCTGTTGCAAGTTCATCTTCGTCATCATACCAAAATCACCCTTATTATCATCACAATAATCAATACTCATACCATCATCCTTCAGAATCCAATCATCCACCTCATCATCATCAACATCCACCTCAACCTCAACATCATCATGATAATTACCATCCTCAACATAATCCTAATCATGTTAAACCTGAATATGATCAATCAAATGTAAGACCTCCAATAGATTGGTATCCAAATAATAATGGAAATGAACTTCATACCAACAACAATAATAACGACGACAATAATCATAGCAATAGAGGTGATTTTCAACAACGTAATTAATCAATCTCAAAAAAAAATCTTTGGAACATTTGTAGATTTATTTATTTATTTTGTTAATTATGTAAGATATTAATAAAAATCTAATAAACCAAAATTTATTTTTATTTTTTTAGAATCATTATAAGCTTTTTTAAATTATGATAAACTATAATCAATATATTTATTTACACATATGCTATAGTTCTACTTCTACTACTTCTACTACTTCTACTACTTCTACTACTTCTAATACTTCTACTACTACTACTACTACTTCTACTACTACTACAATTAGTTACATTATAATAGAATAATAATTAATAATTAATAACAAAAACAATAACAATAATATTTTCAAAAAATTGTTTTATTTTCTAAGTAAATACTGTAATGATACTTTAAAAATCTTTTTTCAAAATAATTTACTTCACAACTATTGCGTGAAAGAGATTCGGAGTTATCTGCAGACTTCACAAATATTGACTTATAACTACAGTTTTAAGGAATTGATATTTGGAATCATGTGATTCGGCGGAGAAGATGGTGAAAAATAAAAATAAAAATAAAAAACAAGATTTTTGAATGGAAAAGATTTCTTTGTAAAGTTGGAAAACAATATATTAAGCGATGATATTATTCCATTAATAAGATTCAATCAAATATCTGCAACTGATTTTTCATTTAAAAATCAAACCATACAAAAAGGTTTTTAATATAGATTTGTATGTATGTATCAAGGACTTCTTGATTATTTACTAATTATGGTGAAGATAAAAAATGACAATCAAAATCATCATTACCAACAATAATGGCTCTTTAGAATATTTCAAGAACAAATATTATATTTACAATTAAAAAAAAGAAAATCAAGTCATGATTTTGAATTAATTTTATTGTGGAAAAAGTCAGGATGGATTCTCAAGGTCAAGAAATGTTATAACATTGAACAAGCTGTGGCAATGAAAATTATGGAACCAGGTGAATTAATCTGTTAGAATATAAAAGAAAAATCTCCAGATTTTAATACTAATAAAATTTTCTAAATCAAATAAATTTTTTTAGCTATTATCAGTGGAGTTGAAACAATTATTAGATAAAATATTTAAGATGAGCAAGATGTCAATCTTCAAATCCATATAAATACCATATTTTAGATCTACCTTCTTAAGATTGTAATTGAAACTACATGATGTTTGGGTGCGAGGTTCCTTTTGGCTGGCTTACAAAAACAAATATTACTATTTATTCAAATTAATTGATTAAATTTTTTAATGTTACATTATTTACCTTTATGATTTCTCATAAAGCCGTAATATTAAAAATTTGAAGAAATTGCTACATTAAAGACTTTGTTTTAATAAAGCTTTATGGGAATTGACAACTTCTGGATGGTAAAGGTTTAAACAATAATATTAGTTTTATACCTAAAGTTTATTTTGATAATTTTAATATAACAAAAATTTTCTTTAATATGGTTGGCTCGGTCCTATTGCTGCGCCATACGCTACCAAATTTCAAAAATTGCGATTTCGTGATTTGTTTAAAACTTTTCAAAAAAGGTTTTCGCGTGATTTTGGTCCCTCCTGTCAATGATTGATGAGTATTAGTCCAAATTTAGTAACGATGAGCGAAAACTAGTCTAAATTTAGCAATGATCCTAGCGCTCAAATTCCTTGTGAGCGTAGTACAAATAATTTTTTTGAGAAAATCTCTATTACATTAAATTAAAGACCTATTCCATCAACTAATAGAGCTATTTTTTTAAAAGGTGGGACAGAAAATGACTTCTATACTTTTAAAATTTAGGAGGTCTTTAAACTGAGCCAATTATAGAAAGTCATTATTTAATTTCTGTTTTATATGGTGCAGGTCACTCACTACATATGTAAACTCACTTGATAAGTTGGTTTACTTGATAAGTTGACCAAAATTTTCACCCCATTTTCTTAATATTTAAGTAATTTAATTCAATAAGTTGGTTTACTTGATAAGTCAGTCATATGGGCTCACCCCCACATGACCGACTTATTGAGTTTACATATGTATAACACATCAAATTCTGTGCCAAATGTTTCAAATTCAAAAAAAATCTGATTTTTATCACATGACTTTCCACAAATGCATTTAAATTATTTCTTTTATACATTATCTGGAATCTTTCTATGAGACTTATATTTTTTTTACAATATATTCAACCTGTAACACTGTTAAACCTTTCCTGTAACAGCCCATAAATTTTGCAGCTCTTGCATATTTTCTAATCTGTTTCAATGGTATAGAATCAAAGGCTCTGGGAATGTTCTCTTGAAGAAGGATTTACAGTGTCATTGACAATGGTGCAATAAGATCAACCATCTGTGTTCTTTTCTATATAATAACTATTTTTTTCATCAATTAAAAAAGAAGAATACTTAAAAGAACAAATAATTCTTTATTTTATTTTCCATGACATATATTAGCTAATATTTTAGTATTAGGGGGTGGAGGGACAACAGAAAATCTTAGGTCACACATAATCTCATAAATAACGTGATCATTATGGCTTCAGTGAAAGATCTGCATTTTTATAATTTTGAATGCAAGTGTTTTAATTTGGTAATGATCTACACGTAAACTAATTGTCATTTACACAAAAAATTGTATATATGGGAGAGCGTGTTTTAATTGATGATAACAAATTTTTATTAGTTTATGTGGACCAGAATGAATAGGCTAATACTAACGAATTAGATTTATTAGCGAATAATTTTGTTTTAGTGATTTGATAAAAATGATTTATTTAATTTTGTATTTAGTCGAAACTAATTATTAACTTATTATTAAGTTAATTTGTTATAAAGTTATTCTTCGACTACAGCTAGGGATGGGGACGGTTTATGTCACGTCCGACGACGAATAATATTTTTATCATTGATTCGTGACGATTAATATACTAAATTACAGGTGACATTTATATTGCCAAAACAAGACAAATTAATTGTCACTTATAATTCAGTAATTAATCGTTATAAAAATATTATTCGTCGCCGTACGTGACAAAAACCGTCCCCATCCTAACTACAGCGAATTCTTTTTCCTTACATACATGTTAGATTATGTATCCCCATTTGGGATATTCCTCCCGGTCTGGGATATATAGCCCAATCTGGGATAATCTTCGTTAATTTCTACGTGTTACAAATTAATTAAATCAGCGGAATGTAACACGAGTTCATATAACTAATTAAATCATTCAAATAAGAATAGAATATAATAAATAATAGATAAAATAAATAACTAAAAATAAACAACATATAGATAGAAATATAAAATAGATAAAATAAATAATAAATAATATAGATAATTTCACTCCGGAATTACGGGGTTATCGATCAGCGAATTAAGGTCAAATTTGCATTCTGGTGACAATATTACACTTTTTGTCTACAGGATGATATGGCAATTAATATTATAAAATCCTCACATTCTCATATACACAAATGCTATAATTGAACATTCTTTATCTTATATACATTTCCTTAAATATATTTTGTCAAAAAGAGGTCATTTTTGTTGTTATTGAGAAAAGAGAAATCATCGAGAATCCTTGAGTTTTGTTCTTTAGATTTCCTTTAGCAGGATGTATTTTCAAATAAGTAGGAGTTATTACACTCAGAATAAGGTTGTGGGCGAAACTTCTCCAGGAATCAATCAACAGAGTTTTGGCAGGTTACGCATTAATTGTTTATTAGAGTTTCGGCAGAGTTTTGCATTTTGGAGTTTTGTCAATTATCAGAGTTTTGACAAGGTATATACTAATTGTTCATTAGAGTTTTGACAGAGTTTTGACAGTCACGAAGAGGTTTTGGCAAGCAACCTTAACTCAGAACCAAACAGGTTGTTTTGTCAAGAAATAGACAATGCAATCATACCCAGGAATTTCAAGAGATCATAATAATTTTTTTACTCCAATGTTGCTTTTAAAATGTTTGATTTATTAATAAAATTATTTTTTTTTCGCTTGTGCTTTGTTGATCAAAATGTCTTACCTGGGGGTGGGAGGTGAGCACTGTTACTACACATAAATATTAAAAAAATTTCTTGATATTTATCCTTATTTTTTTTTGATTTCACTACAAATTTCTCTTTGTATTTTATCATTATTATATAACTCTTTGTTAATTAAAAACATAACACAAATTTATTTAGAAAATTAATCACATGAAATTACAGGCGTGCATTTAAAGAGGGTAGTTTTATGTGAATGGGAATGGAGGAAGACAGTGCAGTGTATTTATGGAGGGATGCATTTATCTCTTAAGTCCCGAGGTTGGGAATGAGACATGGTGTGCATTTATGGAGGGTGTGCATTTATAGAGTGTGCACTTATGGATGGCTCAGTGTATATACAAAATCACATTCTTCAGAAATAGTGTAACTTTGCAGAATTGGTGAATGTATTTTTATTTTTATAAAAAAGAAGAAATGCCATCAAAACGAACCAACGGACGAGAACAACACGCAATAGAAATCGAAGATATTAGGTATGGGTAAGTGTTATTATTTATGAGTGGTCGCAACCATTCGTCACGCTAGTTTTAAAGAATGGTGTGGTGACAATTCGTTACTTATTAAATTTTGCACTTATTTCTTGAACATTAAAGAAAAAAAAGAACCGAACAGCATAACAATATATTTGATGCAATTAAACAAAAGATCAGTGTGAAAGTGAGTTCGAAATTGATAGTATTAACGGGTTGCTTGATAATAACAGTCAAATTCAAAGGATGGAATCAAATATATAAAGAATTTTATTGAAGAAAAGTGATACAGTCAAAGCTCGTTATAGTGGATTTTGCCTATAGTGGACTTTTTTATTTCCCCAATTTTCTTTGTAATAAAATTTGTTCGTTATAGTGGACTTCTTAATAAAACTTCTTTATTGTGTATAATGGAAAAATTTGATATAGAACATACCCTATGAATTATGTTCGTTATAGTGGAAATAGCAATCTTTTACATTAATGGTTAATGTTAATGTGGTTTCTAAATGGCAATGTGTTAACAAAATTATTTGTGCATTATCCTTTTTTTGATGACGGCAATAAAGTATTCTAGGTTAATTTTTTTTAACAATAAATTAATGTTTGTACGTTATCTTTTTTTTTTTTTTACTGATGAAGAAATTATTAGGAACCAAATCCTGAGGTTGATAATTCTGATGAAGAGGAAGAAGTGGAAATGATGGTTATCTCTGATAAAGAGGCATTAAATAGTAATTCAATATTTAAAAAGTCCACTGGATAATTTTACAATTTGCTATCAAGAATTAAAGATGATTAATAGTTTAAAATCAAAAATTCATAAACGTGTTCAGGATAATGCAAACAACTTATGTTAGACAGTTTTTATTTACTACATATATATGTGCTGTGCGTGAATTTATTTGTGTTATTAATAAAAAATTGATCTCGTTCGTTATAAGGGACTTTTCAATTTATAAAGATATTTTTCTTTGTAGTGGAAATTCGTTATAGCTATTATTAGTATTAGGTTTCAATTTTTATTTGATGTGTTAGTGTGACCCGCACTATGATTATCCATATTCTATTGGTGGACGAATTAGGCATATTATTTTGGACAATTGCAGATAACATATTAATATTAGCAATAATAACAATCATAATAATAAGAAATATGCAATTCATCAATGTTTTTCTTCTATTATTATTACATTAATATATTCGCTGAATTATTGGTTTTACAAAAGGATAAATATGGCGCGCCAGCCATGACAAAACCCTGTCATTACAATCTGGCAGATCTTCCATTGTATGCCTGCGTATGTAACTTTGTTTATATAGTAATAGCGTCATAGATGATGTTACACGACTTGCTTTTAAAATTTTCTTTAATATATTATAATTAATATATTATTAAAACGAAAAGTTGGCGTATAAACTTTTGCTCATTATTTTTCCTATTTAAATTCTTGTCTATTTGGAGAATCATTAACTTCGTAATTCTGAGAATAGAATAATCTGTATTTGATTGTTTATATAATAAATAAAATAACTGCACTCACTGGTCATAAATATAAGGACACTTGCAGATTATCGGAAACAATTGAATAAACATGAAAAAAAATTTTTTTTTATTATCCTAACCACATTCACTTATTAAGTAAAAATTCATCTTCATATCAAATAGTATAATATATTAAATTTTCGCCGCATATAAACAACAACTTGTTGTTTTACGAACCTTAAAAAATAAAAATGAATTTTTCATAATTTTCAAAAAAATCTTTAACTCGAAAATTGACCACAATAGCAAGTTATAACGACCTTTGTGGTATAAGTAAAAAATGCGTCTTATGTTTAAAATAGTTATATCCAAAATTCTGGATCATTTGGTAAATTAATTAATGAGAAAAAAAAAATAAAACGTAAAATTTTGCAAACGATTCAACCTCAAACTGCTCACCAATTTGAAACATAAAAGTCATCAAAAAATATATGAAACTGTTTTAAATTGATTGTATTTTATTAAAAAAAAAATCAGTATCTTGTCGGGATTCCTTTATTTTTTCAAAAAGCATTCACTCTTCGTGGCATACTATTTATTAATCTATTAATTCTCCCCAGGATAGTATTAAACCATTCCTCTTTTAATAAAT